GAGAGAATCCACCACATCTCCGGGGGCTTTGCTCCAGTGCTTAATTACCCTCTGTGTTAGCAATTTGCCCCTCAGTGTTTAGCTCCACCTTCCAGCCATAGGATCCCATTTTGCATTTGTGTGCCAGGTCAGAGAGCCCCGTGCTATCGGAAATCTCCCTAGTCACCTCTTCACCTTCCCTGTGATACTCAATAGATTGAGCGGTGGGACTCTCTCGTTGGAAGTTATTGTTTCATGTGGGTTCAATTTCCAGCTGTGCTCAGACTCCCTGGGTGACCCCCCCTCCCCTCACCGGCTAGGCACTTAATAGCTCTGTGCCTCGGTTTCCCATCTATGATGAGGGGGTCATGATCCTTCCCGGCCTCGCAGGCCATGAGCATGAACGATAGGTAGGGCCGGTACCAAATTCACGGCCATGAAAAATGTGACATGGACCATGAAATCTGGTCTTTTGTGTGCTTTGACCCCTATACCATACAGACCAGCGTTTCTCAAATTGGGGGTCCTGACCCAAAAGGGAGTTGCGGGGGGGGGCACTGTTGCCTTCAGAACTGGGCAGCAGGAGAGCTGCGGCTGCTGGCCAAGGGCCCAGCTCTGGAGGCAGCGCCCTGTCAGCAGCAGCGCAGAAGGGTGATAATCCCATAGCTGCCACCCTTACTTCTGCGCTGCTGCTGGTGGCGGCGCTGCCTTCAGAGCTGGGATCCCGGCCAGAAGCCGCCGCTCTCCAGCCGCCCAGCTCTGAAGGCAGCGCCGCCGCCCGCCACAGCGCAGAAGTAAGGGTAGCAGTACTGCAACCCCCCCTACAATAACCTTGTGATCACCCCCCCACACAACTCCTTTGTGGTTCAGGACCCCTAAAATTACAACACCTTGAAATTTCAGATAAATAGCCATGCATCTGAACAAGTGGGTTTTAGCCCACGAAAGCTTATGCCCAAATAAATGTGTTTGTCTTTAAGGTGCCAGTGGACTCCTCGTTGGTTTTGTGGTGTGATGGGGCAAGGCCAGATGGCTACAGCAAAGTAGTGAGAAACAGGTATGTTAGCCCCAGGCTAAACAAATCCCTGGTACCATGGTAACCAAATGGCAGTTGCTCCAGGTTAATCAAGACACCTGGGGCCAATTAAGATCCTTCTAGAAGGCAGTGGAGACAGCTAGGTTGATTGGGACACCTGAAGCCAATCACGGACTGGCTGGAACTAGTTAAAAGCCTCCCAGTTAGTCAGTGCGGTGTGGGTGTCAGGAGCTGTAGGAGGGAGCTGTGCTGTTGGAGGAACAAATCAGTACGAATCCATATCAGGTGCAAGGAGGCCCTGAGGTAAAGGTGAAGGAGATATTGAGTGGGGGCTGTTGTGGGGAAGTGCCCCAGGGAATTGTACACGTCCTATTTCCGAAAAGTCAGCTACCATAGCTGCTAATTTTAGGGTCCCTGGGCTGGAGCCCAGAGTCGAGGGCGGGCCCAGGCTCCCCCCTCCTCTCCCTGATTAATCACTGAGACTGGGAGACAACAGAGACGTGCGAGGGGGGGTTGTTTCTCCTCACCTCCCTTGCTGGCTTATGATGAAAATGGCTCAGTAGGCTGTGACCCTTGTCTCTAGAGAGAGAAGGGCTACATGGAGGGTCACAGTGAGCCTCTGAGGCTAGCGAAATCCGCCAGGAAACGCAGGACCCACGGAGACTAGGACAGAACTTTATTACAGTGGATACAGACTAACACGGCTACCCCCGATCCTAGCTAAATAGCTGAAATCATTTATCTGACATGGATCCGATGAAATGGGCATTCACCCACGAAAGCTTATGCTCCAATACATCTGTTAGTCTTAAAGGTGCCACAGGATTCTCTGTAGCTGAAATCATGATATTTACTATTTTTAAAATCCTCTGACTGTGAAATTGACCAAAATGAACTGTGAATTTGGTAGGGCCCTAACCATCGGGCACAGGGCTGGAAGGCGCCTCCTGGGCTGTCGAGTCCCGTCCCCTGCTGGCACAGTCCATCCTGGTCATAAACGTACCAAACTCCTTCCTCAACCTTGTTGGGCGTCTGTCCTCCACTGGTGCCTGCTGGGAGGCTGTTTCAGACCCTGCCTCCTCTCAGGGTTAGAAACCTTGTCATTTGTTCCTGGCCAGTTTATACCCATTTGTTCTTTGGCCAACGTACTTCAGCTGCTGCAAGAGCTCCCTGCTCCGTGTTCCTCGCCCCCCAGTATATTTACAGCGAGCGCTCTGTCCACCCCCCCTCCTACGAGCTGCTCCCCATTCCCCCCATCATCCCAGTCGCCCTTCTCTGCACCTGGCCCGGTTTGCATGAAGCTGGCTTGATGACTAAATTGCAGGCAGTGTTACAGGTGGCCTTGTAGAATCCCGCGCTAGCTGGGCGCGGCACAGATCCGAGGGTGACAGGGGTCGGTGGTTCGCCTAGAGAGAAGGGCTGTTGTAGATTTCATGGGATTTAAGGCCAGACGGGAGCATTAGATCTTCTAGTCTGACCCCCTGTACGTCACAGTCCCCTACGTGGCAGGGAATTGTTTAGATGAGTGATGCTCAGGTAAATCCGGTGCCCCATGCTGCAGAAGAAGGCGAACCTCCCCCCTGCCTCCCCCAGGTCCCTGCCAGTCTGACCCAGGGCAAATTCCTTCCTGACCCCAAATCTGGTGACCTTGATCACATGAACAAGATGCACCGGCCCAGCATCTAGAAAGAGGATTCTCTGTACCACCGCAGCGCCCTGGCCAGCCCTGCCTGGTGTCCCATCTCCAGCTGGGACCAATCCCTGATGCTTCAGAGGACAGTGTGTGTGTGTGTGGGGGGGAATCCGAAGTACATCTGGCCAACCGTGTATCAGCCAGCGACTGGCTGCAGCCCTGAAGCATGAGAATGGATGAGAGTCAGTGACTTAGTGCAGACCTGCAGGAGTTATGAGTATGCTGAGAGGAGGGCAGGGAATTCTGTTCTCCCCATGGCCCCCGGTGGAACGGAGATGAAGAGGATGGTTGGGCAGAGGCTAGCTAGGAGCCGTCCCATGAGTACGTGACATCCTCGGGACCATTCCTGACAGCAGCTGGAAACCAGCAGAGCTGCTCACGCTGGCATGTGCTGCATCTCTTGCTGGAGAGGCAGTGTGGCTAGTGACTAGGACAAGCCCCGGAAGACCTGGGTTCTAGTCCTGACCTGTTGTTTCAATATGGGCCATTTGCTTTGGCTGATATTTTCAGCCAGTGCCCCTTAGAGGGGAAAGACCCCATATCCCATTCCTCACCCCTCTGAACCAGCAAGTCCCTCAGCCGTGGGGACGGATTGGAACTGGCTAGAGGGGAGAACTCCCATACCCCATTCCCTTACCCCCTATCCTGCGCCAGAGAGAGGGGAAAGGCCTTGTATCCCATTCTCAATAACGGCCAACACTCGATGCTTGGGATGAAAATCAACCATCTTCTCACCCAAGCCCACCCATTGTCCATTAGGTGGAATTCCTCCCTGTATTTCCCCAGCCGGTTGTCTGAATAAATCCCCCAGGGCTAGACACACAAAACAGCAAGAGTTCTCACGCTCCGCCAAGTTCTTTAATAGCAGCCCAGGGCGGACCGGAAATGTGAGTACATGATCATCTCATCAATGCCATACAAAGAAGCTCGGCAGGAAATGAAAGCAAATGATAAAATCTTTTCCAAAGCATAAACATGAGCAAATATCACATTTTAAAAATGTTTAAAATAGGGAGATACATTTTGAAAGTCAGGTTAACAGAGCTAAGGGACGGTATAAATGCAGATTGGAAAAATAAAATGTAGGATCAGTCCTGAGCTGGTATAAATTCATAGCGTTTACAGCATGAAAGACTAGTCTGATTTCCTGGCTATTACCTCTCCCCTGCAATGAGCCCAGAACCTGTCTGTGACTAACGCACAGCTTGTGTTTGGCTAACACACATCTTCCAGAATTGCTGTAACTGCATGAAAATTGGTGAGGTTGTGCTGACTTCTACCACCCGGGGATCTGGCCTCCAATTCTGCAGAGCGGGGATGGGTAGAGACTGCGGCATGGAGTCATTTGAATGAGTTTCTTCAAGTCACAGAGGCCAGACCAGACCATTCTGATCTAGCCCAACCTCCTGCATATAACACAATGAGAGAGTTTTGCCCACTGATCCCTGCTTTGAGCCCACAACGTCTAGGTGAACTCCAGCAGCCTTTTAGAAAGACATCCAGTCTCAAGTGAGGGGAATCCACACATGTCTAGTTAAGACAGTCCAATGGTTAATTACCCTCACTGTTAATTTGCACTTTATTGCCAGGCTGAATTTGTTTAGCGTCAACTTCCACGCATCTGCCTTAAAGAACCCACTACTGTCAGGAATGTGTTGGCTGGATTTTCCAAGGAACTAGCTGCCTAAATGCTATTGAATTTCAAGTGGAGATGGAGGCCTCATTCCACTAGGCCGCTTTGAAAATCCCAGTGTGTGGCAGAGAGTGGAAAATTCAACCTAGGAGATTTTAATGCACAATTCCCATTGATTTCCAAGGGAAGTAGGAGCCCAAAGCCCTTAGGTGGCTTTGCAAATCTCAGCCTCATTCTCTGTGCTTCAATTTGCCCTTTTCAAAATAGGCTTAATGGTAAAGCTGGTTTGTTCTGCAGAAAATTTCAATGAAGACTAAAAAAATATTCACTTTTGTTGAAATTTGCACTGGAAAAAAATGTTTAAAAAAGTTTAAACTTAAAAAAACCTTTAAAAAAAGCTTTAAAAAAGTTGTTTTTGGTGTTTGACAACTGGGAACTGAAAATTCAGACAAATCTGAAAAATCTTGTGGCCAAAAACTGTAAAAAAACAACAACAAACAAATGGAAAAATATTCATTTTTTAGCCAAACATTTTGGGTTTCTGAAGAAAAATTGAAGTTTTTTTTTTTCTAGGAAAATGGGGACTTTCTGCCAAAAAAATTGAAACCCTAATTTTCCATCAAAAAATGTTTTCACACACATTTGTTGACCAGCTCTAGTTAATAGCAATTCCTTGCCTCACACTGGGAGCTTGTGAGGAGAAATGTGTCAGTCTGTGGAGGGTGAAAGAAATGAGGGTCATGGAAAAACCAGGCTAGGTAGGTGAGATCCTTCTAAAACTCGCTAAATGGAAGCACAGCCGATCATTATACATCAGGCCTAACTACAGAGGTGATATGGGGATCATTCATTGCATTCGATTTCCTGCTGCATGGGAAGGTGAAGAGATGACAGCAGGTCTCTGAGGAATTCCCATCACTCCAGATTCCATCTGTCCTCTTTCCTTCCACTCCTGTAAAGAGAGAGCAGGATGAGAGGGTCAGTTCATTGTTTACAGTACAGTCAGGTCTGGAGACCCCAGCCAGGATGAAGGATTTCAGCGTGCTGGGTAGAGAGCTAGGAATGGGAAGATAAAACAGAGCGCGAGAGATGGATAGCTACTGGCAAGGAAAGCTGGATTGACAGATGTATGGATAGTGGGTATGATGGATAGATGCTGTTTATGGGGTTGGATGGATAGAGGGGTGTGTACGGGTATAGATAGATGTGTAGACAGTGGGAAGGAAAAATGGGTTGGCGAATAGATGGATAGTGAAAAGGATGGGTGGAGATGAATAAACAGATCCTGGGAAGGAAGGAGTGATAGAAAAGATGGATCCTTAGATAGATAATACAAGTGCAAATGAAGGATAGAAGGTAATAGGTAGATAGATGACAGATATTGAGAAGAATGGATTGATAGATAATAGAGACTATGAAGCCAGGATAGACAGATGATAGGAAGAGAGATACTGTGGAGGGAAGGATGGACAGATGGATGGATAGATTGGACAGAGAGAAAGATGCTCTGGAGAGGAAGATGGCTAGATAGCTACACAGATAGATGCTGCTGAGGAACGGATGGATGGAGAGAGAGATTAGAGGGTGAAGGAAGACTGGCTGGCTGGATTACACAGATCCCCGAAGCCTTCCCCATCCCACTCACTTTAGCTTTTCCACAGCCAGATGGTCAGTAGCAGGTTAACCGCCACTCCTTTCACAAAAACGATTCTCAGGCCCAGCAGCGTGAATGACAGGAGGTTCAGCTTCTCGTCTGTAAGATAACAGGAAAGCAAAGGTCACAAAAGATGACATACACACACGCTACGGCTTCTGATGTCTGCCTCACTCCTGGCTCTTACTCGGGGGCTAGATTCAGCTGGAAACTACAAGGAATGAGATGACATTGACCCTACCAGAGACTAGCTGATCCTGTTCACAGATGCTGGGATTTTCACAAGTTGGGTGCCCAACTCCCTTTGAAAGTCAGTCTCTAACTCCCTTCAGCCCACTTTGAAAGTCCCAGATGAAGCTCTTTGCCTCAGCAATTCCATGCAGCAGAGAGTTCCACAGGTTAAAGAAGTGGTGTCCCTAGCCTCTGTTTGCCAGAAGCTGGGATTGGGTGACAGGTTATCATCAAGTGATCCATGCCCTGTCTGTTCATTCCCTCTGGGGCACCTGGCATTGGCCACTGTCAGAAGACAGGACACTGGGCTAGATGGACCTTTGTTCTGACCCAGTCTGGCTGTTCTTATGGTCTTATGTAAGTGCTTCCTCTTATCAGTCCTAGCTTTATCCTGGACACTGCATCCATACCTGTCTCAAAATTGTCATCCATCTCTATCATCCCGCAGGTGTCACCTGTAAATAAAAATACCCATCAGCTATTAATAGAAATAATCAAAACAATTTAAATTCACACAAGTATCTGTGTCTTTGTATTTAGCATGTTTCCAATGGCTGTGCTAAGGGGCCAGTTGAGAACCAGGCTCCAGCGCGCTAGGTGCTGTGCACACACGGGCTAAGGTTCAGAGTGTCACAGATTGTATGGCTAGAAGGAATATGAGATCATCTAGTCGGACCCCCTGCATAAGACAGCCCGAGAATTTCGCCCAGGCCCCCCTGTATTGATCCCAATCGTGTGTTTGAGTAAAGCATCTTCCAGAGGGACCTCAGGCTTGGGCGGACCCAGCCAGAGCGGGAGAATCCAGCCCTCCCCTGGGGATTTTGTCCTAGGGCTTAATCACCCCTGCTGCTAGAAAGTTGTGCCTCAGATCTCATCTCGGCTTCTCTGGCTTTCGTTTCCAGCCTGGGGTCCTTGTTGTGCCTTTGTCAGCTGGGTGAAAGAGACCTCCAGGACCCTGTGCGTTCCCCCTCCGACACTACTCGGGCACTCTAACCAAGCCACCTTGACCTTCTTTGTGGGTAGAGAAACAGACTGAGCTCGCTGCAAGGGAGCTCCCAGCCTTTCCAATGATTTCTGTAGCTCTATTCCGCACCCTTTTGAAAGGCGGATGCCGGAGCTGGATGCAGTACTGGGCTCCGCCATGCTGTGTACACAGGTCAAGCCACCCCCCACCCAGGCCGACTCACAACTCCTCTGTAACAGGGTGGCATGCTCCCTGGGCTGCCGAGGCTGGGGCCGAGCCCACCTGAGAGGTATTGGGAGTCATGTGGAAGCACTAGGAGGGCCCAGCTGGGGGAAGGGCCAGAGGGAAATGCCTGTGGGAAGCCCCTCAGTCACTGGGGAAGAGCCTGGCTGCAGGAGAGGCCGGAACGTTTTGTTTCTGGTAAAGAGTTTGGAAGGTCAGTTTGGAGAGTTGTGACCCCGGCAGGAGTGGGCTAACGACTGATCCAGCCAGAGGGCTGAGCCACCTGTCAAAGAAACCCCCACAGCGCTGCAGTGACCGTCACAGGGGCGGGGGGCCGCTAGCCCCGCCAGGAGCTACCCCGCTGCATGTGGCCAGGAAGGGACGCCTCTGGGCGAGCAGGGCACTTGGTACCATGTCCGAGAGGGTATTAGGCCGCACTGGGAGCTGATGTTTGGTTGCTTGTCCGCTGTGACCCCATAATCCCTTTAAGCCTTGCTGCTCTCTGGGATACAGACCCTTGTTCTGTGGGGGTGGCCTGCGTTCCTAGATGTATAACTCTGCCTTCGGCTGTCTCAAAGCACGTTTTATTTGAATGGGCCCGGCTGGCCAAGTGAACCGGGGTGCCCTGGCCGCCCCCTTGTTTACCACTCTGCCAATCTTTGGGTCACCCACAAATTTTAAGAACAGTGATTTTATATTTACTTCCAGGTCATTGATAAAGAGATTTAATGGCATCTTGCCTAGCACAGGTGCCTGTGGACCCCTACTGGAAACAATTCCATTCACTGATGATTCCCCATTGACTTCCAGCGGGACTTGGGTGGCTGACTCCTTTAGACAACTCTAAACAACATCAGCAATTACATCACAAGACCCATCATCCCCGCCACCAGCTCATCCATATCTCCCACATGTCAACAAGAACGGGTCATTTCATTGGTCACCACCAACCAGGGACCAGAGCCCAGCCTGCAGCCTAGAGATCACCTCCCCGCCCCCACATTTACCTTCCTCATCACTGTCGCCCATCTTGAATTCTCTCGTTTTATGTTTGGCGATGCAGTGAAGCGGCTTCTCTTCTCTCCAAAGCACCGTCCCATAGCTTGCTTCCGTTTTTCCGCTGTCTGGGTCTTTCACCTGCACAACGGAGCCATTGACTTGTGTCATATCCTCGTCTGAACTCCCAACTGAGATGTCCTCAGGGGCGAAGTCCGTGATAAGGCAAGCTGACGACTTTCCATCTTGGGACTTCAGTTGGTAGATAGAAGGGTCAGAGTCTTCGAGATCTGTGAAAGAGAAAAATCACATGGCCGGGGGTCAGTAACCACAGTCCTTGCATGCCTCCTCATCTAAATCTGAAAACCAGGCCTTGCAGCAAGAGACTTAAGATAACCTCCTCTTGGATAGACTAGATTGGGCAAGGGGCAACTTCACCCCAGTCTACACAAGGAAGAGATTTCTGATAGTAGGCAGCCCTTTAATCTAGCAAAGGCTGAACAAAATCATAGATTAGAAAGCCAGGCACTGTTCTAATCTAGTCTGACCTCATATATTACATGGACTGTAAGAGTTGACTGAATTAACTCCTGTTGGAACTAGCACATGTCTTTCAAGAAAAAGAGCAACCTTGATTTAAAAATTTCTCCTCCTTACACCTATTCGAATACTAGTTGATAATTACCCTATAGACATCATCACTTCAAGCTATGGGCGTTTATGTTTTTTTTAATCTTTCCCCAAAGGTTAGACCCTCTAGCCAGCGGCTCAGTTGTCTGGCTTTTCTCTGCGTTCCCTTCATTATGGGTTTGGGATACCCAGAAAAGTCACTTTTTCACCCTCATTCTGTACGGAATGTGTCCTGGTGTGGTGTGGTGTGGCAGTTCCACTCTCTGATCTCTGCTCATGGATAGCTAGATTTCAGTTTTGGACTATTTGGGAGACAAGGATATGTCTTACAGAGGGAAAGATGGATGGATGGAGAGAGAGAGAAACTGCAGAGGAAATGATGGATGGATGGATGGTTGGGTAGATATTGGAGGAGTGAGGATCAATGGGTAGATCTCAAAGAGGAAAGAATGGATATGGTTGGGCGGGTAGCTAGCTAGCTATCACCGGAGAAAGGCCAGGTAGATTCTTCATTAGTGTTACAGTTAATCATTATTTGCCTGACTCTGTGCTCCGTACTCCAAACCCTTGACTAGCACTAGCAGAGGTGGGGGAGGGGCGTGGTGGTTTTTTCAGTCCCTTTCTGACTGTGCAGGACTTTTGCAAATGGCTTATTGAGCAAATAACAATTGGAGGCTGGTTTTGCAGAGTGCAGAGCCTGTGACGCGTTTGTTTCTCAAGCTTACTCGGCGCGACCGGGGACTTTGTTCTAGCTCCGAAGGCCGATTTCCTGTAACCGCCCACAGAATTCACACCTCGCTCTGAGACTCTGCAGGTTGTTTTGGTAAATCGGTGCTATTAGAACCGCAGCCCTATCGCCCCCGTTTCCTGTTATTCTCTATGCCTAAGTGAACAGAGGGCTTGTTGGAGCTGCTGTGTACTGGTATCTCTGAGGTCCTTTATCTACAGAATGGGTGCAGGATGGACAGGGCTGGTCCAAACTGTACCAAACCTCCTGCCAACGGACCTCAACTTTCCACTGCCAGGGCCTTGCCTAGACGTCCCAGGGAAGTCCAGGGACCATTCAGTCCTGGAGCCGTCCCTTGGGAGGCCAGCCCCAGTGGTGACTCAGAGGTGAATGCCTGTTCAGTTGCAGCCTCGGACCAAATTTGTTCCACGCAGGCCAGCGTAGAAAACTCTCAGCCAGAGGTGTGAGGATCGGTATCTGATTGCCCATCCTCCCCAAGCCAGCTATTCCCTCAGCCTCGCGCTGGATTGGTACGAGTGTCCTAGAAGCGAAAGGCATCAGATCCTATCCCCTGACACCACCGGTCCCTCTGGATGGGAATCAGTGCCATGGACATCTGAAATGCCCCAGTTCCATTCCCCCAACTTTCCTGATCCAGCCGGTCCCCTTGACCTGGGACTGGATTCCAACTACCGCCCCCCCAGCTATGAAAAGCCCCATATCCCATCCCAGATCGGGGCCAATTGAAACCAGCACCCCCTAGAGACGAAAGGCCCTATATCCCATTCCCTGCCCCACTGAGCCATCCATTGTACATGGATTTTGCACAAAGATGTATACTACGAACATATCACCTTACTTACTAGCATTTATTATTAGTTTGGTCCCACTCCCAAAAGTGATTTTGTTATTTCCTCCATCATTCACACTCAGGGAAATGGCATTGCAAGAACAATCCCATGCCCTACCCCAAACCGTTAAAGGGCTGACATCCACCTGGGGCACAGTTAAACTAGAGCTGGGCAAATCACAGATTTATTTTTTTTGGCGGGGGGGGGGGGGGGATTCATTGGTCATTTTGAAAAGTCAACCCAAAAATGGTTCGTTTGGGGTCAGACTGGAAATGAAAAGTTTTGGTGAGTGGAAGAGTTAAAAAAAATATTGGGGTTAAACTAAATGTTTCAGTTTTGTCCAAGTGAAATGTTTTGTTTCAATTTTGCCAAGTATCGGGGGGAGGGGGGTGGCCGTGTTAGTCTGTAGCCATAAAAACAATGAGGAGTCCGGTGGCACTTTAAAGACTAACAGATTTCTTTGGGCATAAGCTTTTGTGGGTAAAAAACCCACTTCTTCAGATGCATGGAGTGAAAATGACAGCTGTAGGCATAAATATAATATATTTATCTATAACACTGGTTCTCCACTCGTAAGGTAACTCCCTTCTCTTCATGTGTCAGTATATGATGCCTGCATCTGTCATTTTCACTCCATGCATCTGAAGAAGTGGCTGTTTTACCCACGAAAGCTTATGCCCAAATAAATCTGTTAGTCTTTAAAGTGCCACCGGACTCCTCGTAGTTTCAATTTTGACCACTTTTTAAAATGATTTTTGAATTTATTTAAATAAAATTAAATTAAACATTGAAACAAAGTTCTTTCAGACTGAATAGTCAATAATTCATTTCAGAGACGTTGAAATGAAACACTGGGTTTTTTTCCTTCAGTTTTGGGTGGTTTTCTCTTTTTCCAAAGAACCATTTGGCACAATTGACAAACTCACGAAATGCTAAGCACTGTTGCAGACTCTGCAATTTCTACCGAAAAAAGTTTCAGAAGAAGAATTTCTCCCCGCTCTGAGTGCGTTAACCGTTGATGCAGAAAGAAATGTAGTGTCCCCCTCATTTCTTGTATTCCCCCCGCCCCCCAATTTTCTGTGCTTTAGAATCTGAAGTCATCAGAATGCTGCATTTGTGACCTCACAGTGTGGCGCGATGGAAGTGATTCTAATGGCACAACATCAGCGTTGTAACCTAACTTTTCAGCTCCTATCTGGCGCCCTGCACCATACTAGCCGCGCTGCTCAGACAAGTTCTCCTCCCACACCACTCAGCGGTATTCCCACTCCGGGGGAAACTGAGGCTCAGCTATTGTATGGCTGGATTTTCAAAGGAGCACAAAGGGAGTTAGGCATAATTAACCCCATTGGCATTCACTAGGATTTGGTGCCTAAATCTCTTTAAAATTCCCGGAGAAAGTGACTTGCCCACAGTGAGCCTGTGGCAGAGTTAAGAACTGGCCACAAGTCTTTGGGGTGCTCTTTCCCCATCAGACCCAGTGTCCATATAGCCCAGGGCCGGCTGCTTCCCAGGAAGATACAAGTGGGCTGTCATGGCTGGATCATTATACGTATTGATACTGGGTGTTAAGTTCCTTTATGCTTTTCAAAATACCTTTAAAAATCTGGCCCTTATGAGACAATTTTCCCACAGCAGAAGTTTCTTCCTAAGGAATTTGTTAAACTCACGGGGGAGGGGGGAGGGGAGATTCCTTGGAGGTAACTTTACATACATGCACAGGCTGAGAGTTTCAACTTCCACAGAGTTGGGACCTGGGTGCCTAACTCCTTTAGGCTACATGCACACAAAGGACTCCTAGTGTTGGCGCAGCGGACATCAGCAAAGGTGTGCTTTGCCCCAGTGTAGCCAACCCACCCCTCTGAGAGGGACAAGCTCGGTCAGTAAAAGTGCAGCTTTGCTAGTCTAACCGCATCTAAACTAGGGACTTCGCCCAGCCCAGGGATCATAGCTCGTCACGCCCCGAACCAACAGCGCTGGGCCAGCCCAAGGCTGCAGTGTAGACCTGGCCTCTGGCTCCCCAGCCATACATTAAAGGCAGGAAGGGATCACAAAATCATCTAGCCTGCTCTGTATAACACAGGCCAGAGAACCCCACGCAGGGACGCCTCCATCAAGCAAAACAACGTCATCCCCTTTGGGAACAAATATTTGAGCTGGTACAACATCTCCCATCTTTTTTTGAATTGCTTTTCAATGAAATGAAAATATTTAAGGAATAAAGTTCTGCTTTCGTTGACAAACGTTGGCATATTTGTTGAAGAGCCATAAACCTGAAAACAGTTTTGGGGTTTTTTGGCGTTGTTTGTTGTGGCAAAATCCCAAACTGTTTGTTTTCAATTAACCATATTGGGTGGCCCAAACCAAAACCAATGGGGGGGGGGGTTGGTTTTTCAATGGAAACAAAAAGTTTCTGAAAAATATTTAGATGAAGTTAAAAAAATTGCTGAAACTTTTTTTTTTAAACAGGGACGGGAGGAAAAACCCACTTCCTGACCAGCTCTAAAAAATATACTTCCCAAGCAGTGCCCAAAAGCTCCACTTAGTGAAGTGAGGAGGGGGAGGGGGGAGAAAATGCACATAAAATAGAAGATTTTTAGGTTGATCTAGAAAAGTCAAAAGAATTTTTTGGCCTAGATTTGGTTGCTTCAGGAGCTGGACACCTCATTCACATTAAAATCCCTGGTTAGAAAAGAGATGATTTTACAAATCTCGGCCCTAATGACTATTTTAATTAGGAAACTTACTTGGAAGTACTAAGAGTTCTGTTCCAGCTCCAAAGGTCACCGTCCTAGACCCGGTATTCCCACCCCCGTCTGAACCATTACAAATACTCTCCTCCGAGAATGAGTCAGAGAAACCACTCAGGGAAACTCTCCTTTCAGATAGCACAGAATAGTGACTTCAGGATGAATGTGGTGGTTTCTCTGACTGTTCTCTCAATCCAGGTGCTTACATAGGTTCCCACTTCATAGTATCTGGCCCCTCATAAAGTTGAATGGAGTTGATCCTCACAGACACCTGAGTGGTAGTGACTTGAGTTTCATCAATTTCTCTATCATTGCACTCTGGTTCCATCCTACGCTTTTCATAGCCTGCCTCTCTGGGTCATACTCACCTGGGTTGACCCTCCGCCTACTCCCTCTTCCGAATGTGAGCTTGTCATTTCCCCATCATCATTCACACCCCAGCAAAGGCCTTTACAAGCATCCAAAACTGCACTTACATATTCCAGTGTTTCTGCCCCCAAATTACATGTTCTTAGTGCCAAAGTAGGAAACAGTCTAGGTACACTAGCTGAAATTTTTCATTCAAAATATTTTAGTTATTTGGCCATTTCATGAAAATGGATATTTACCCCCCTCTCAAACTGATTCCTCCCCCCCTTTTTTCAAAAAAAAAAAAAATCAGTTTCAAATTTTACTAGGTCTCCTCCCCCTCCCCCCGCAGTTTTCATTCTGACGTTTCAGTTTTCATCCAACGTGTAAAATTCCCTTTACCAATTTGGAAACATGCTGGAAAGAAGTTGTTTTCTACACTTTCCAGTTTTGAAAACATTGTTTAAAATCTCCATGGATAAACTGTGCTCGCTCTATCTACCCTCAATCATTCAGCTCTGGTTCCAGCAGAGAGTTCTCCTAGTCTGCCTTTCTCATTTCATCTTTGTGGCTTGACCGCCAGCGTGGTTCCACTTCCAGATAGAACCCGAGAGCCTCCACCTCTGTATTCCACACTCCAGGGGAGCTTTTCGAGACCTAGTTCCATTTCCTGTAGTTTAGCCCTCGGTTACTTCCTTCTATAGATACCAAGTGGAGGTGCTTGAAACTTTTCTTTGCTATCTCTCTTCCCCATTTAAATATGCCTGATTTTCAAACTTGGAAACACTGCCCTAGATTTTTTTTCAACCTGTCAGGGATGGTCTAGACCAGTGGTTCCCAGACTTGTTCCGCCGCTTGTGTAGGAAAAGCCCCTAGCGGGCCGGGCCGGTTTATTTACCTGCCATGTCCGCAGGTTCGGCTGATCGCAGCTCCCACTGGCTGTGGTTTGCTGCTCCAGGCCAATGGGGGCTGTGGGAAGCGGCGCGGGCCGAGGGATGTGCTGGCCGCTGCTTCCCGCCGCCCCCATTGGCCTGGAGCGGGGAACCGCGGCCAGTGGGAGCCGCGATCAGCCAAACCTGCCAACACGGCAGGTAAACAAACCAGCCCGGCCTGCCAGGGGCTTTCCCTGCACAAGTGGCGGAACAAGTTTGGGAACCACTGGTCTAGATAATACCATGAGTGCAGGGGACTGGACTAGATGACCACACTTTAGCTCTTCATTAGCAATTCTTTGATTGTAAGAAAACCTCTATACTTCCAAAGTACATTTTTGTCACATGGCTGTTGTTGGTTTTTTCCCCATAGCAAAAATTTGTACTTTGGAGCATTTTCCATTTTGGAGGAAAAATCCATTTTCTTCTATTTTGGTAGGATTGTGAAGCTGTATTCCTCCTACCTCCTTCTCCCCTGCCCTGTCCTCCTCACCCCCTTCCCTTCCCTTTTCCTTTCATTTGGCTGATTCCCTCCTCACTAAATTCAGCTCAAAAATCGTGGCACTAACATGCCATGTCCTGCCATCCCGTTGTTCACTCTGACCCCTTCCCTCACCCTGGGCCTGTCTGCTCTATTTCAATTGTCCACTCCTCGGGGCAGGGACTGGCAGCGTCTGTGTCTGTACAGCACCTAGTGCAACGGGGCCCCTTTCTGGGCTGGGCCTCAGGCACTAATGTCATAAACATGATGAATAGTAACATAGGGGGCAATTTTTATTCTTACCTGGCCTTAAACCTACATGGGAAGCCGCTTCAAAACAAACAGAATCCAGGCTAAACAAAAACGTCAAACCCTTGGTGGGGGGGGGGGGGGAACTTACCCGGAGTCCCTAGAACTTTGGTCTCCATTCCAAATATGAGTTTTCCTAGCCCCTCATTACTCACACTGTGACACCAGCCTCTACAAAATGAGCGGTGACTCTCAACTCCTGCTCATCTTGGGTACGAAGTGGAGAAGCTTGTGAAATGCTCTCCCAGTGAAGGACTGGGAAATCCCATTGGACAAAACAATTTAACACATCTCTGGGGAACCAGGTGGGTGGGGAAAATCCAGCGATGGCTAAGAGATGGAGGCTGGGATTGGCTGACCCAGTAATCCCTTATTCTTCTCTCACATTTGTCATTCTGGAATTTATAGGACGACATGAAGAGAAATAAGTGAGGGTTCGAAGGCCTTCGTGGGTCAGCTAGTGCATTTCCAAACCATGCATGTGTCTCTGTCTGTCTGTCTGTCTACCTACCACAGGGCTTTGCGTTGGTGCCTGTCACTATAGAATTGGGCATCTTCCAAGCTTGCATAGATACTAAGTGAGGTCCCTACAGCATATGGCAAGGAAAAATATTGTTAGAGTGGATTTCAGCTAAATATGACCTACCATCCCTCTGTGGTACTATGGTGAGGAGTGGGGTATAGACGCTGAATAGACTAGATTCCAACCCGTTATACTCCAGTTCAATTTACGTATGGTTTATAAAAGTTAAAGAAATGACTGATAGTTATTTATTGAATGGTTAATCAACTGTTCCTACACCAGGGATCGGCAACCTTTGGCACGCTGCTTGCCAGCATAAGCACCCTGGCTGGCCGGGCCAGTTTGTTTACCTGCCGCGTTGGCAGGTTCGGCCAATCCCGGCTCCCACTGGCCGCGGTTCACCACTCCAGGCCAATGGGGGCTGCGGGAAGCGGCGTGGGACGAGGGATGTGCTGGCCGCCACTTCCCGCCGCCCCCATTGGCCTGGAGCAGCGAACCATGACCAGTGGGAGATGTGATTGGGCGAACCTGCGGATGCGGCAGTAAACTAACCGGCCCGGCCCGCCAGGGTGCTTACCCTGGCGAGCCGCGTGCCAAAGGTTGCCAGTGCCTGTCCTAGACTGTTAAAGAATCCAACAAGTCAGTAACTAGCTCATAACCATGGATTGTACCTTTCTTTAGCACCTTCTACTGATGAATTATAATTGTTCATAGTACATACTAATCGTGCCTTTGACAGGCTCATAAAGCCGAATAACCAATTATTGACCCTGTCTACATTATTTATAAATATAGCCTTAATATACCCATTTTGATTGGTCATTTTAGGTTCATAATGGGAGTTATCCAAATTCCATTTTGAAACTGACAGGTAGTTTCGAAATGTCCAGGTTTTGAAAACTGTTTTTTAAAGTTCATGGCTAATCGATGCGGTATCTATCCATCCTCCTTTCCATCCATAGATCTATCGATTTGCCATGAAAACCTACCACAAAATACCGAGACACTGCAGTTCAGTTCCATCATGTATCCTCCACACTGTGATTGATATTTTCAAAGTTAGGCAGCCAACTTCCATTGAATTTCAATGAGAATTGGTTGCCTCTCTCCCTGAAGCCTTTTTCCTTTCGTCCTTGTGCCATACTCACATGGGTTCACCATCAGCTTGGTCCCCTTTCCAAACGTGAGCTTATCTCCTCTATAACTCTCACAACCCAGGAAACCTTTACAAGAACCTTCTTCATGGTGCTGACCTTACCTAACACTCTGCTTGCTCTTAAGCTTTTACGGAATGTTTCCTACTGTTTCCAGCTGAGGTTCCAATGTGTCCATTTGGACTCTCTTTGATTTCAAAACCTCACAGGAACTGGAGCTGGAAAAGTTCCATCTAGGCCCATACCCCTGCTCTTGGCTGGTCCATCACCCTACTTGCTAATGTATTAAAGGGTGAGGTCTTGTGTTTGGGATGGGAGTCGGGAAATCTTGGTTCCGTTCCCAGCTGTACCACAGACTCCTTTAAGCTGACATTTTCAAAGCTGCCTAGGGGATTTGGACACCCAGTCTCCCCAATGCCCAGTCCAGCTCCCCGATGGCTAAAGGAGGTGGAGAAGGGATGGATGGTCCTTTGGTTAAAGCAGCACAGAGAGGTCAACTTACTCGGGGTAACAAGAAGTTTGGTCCCAGTTCCAAATATGACTTTTCCATAGCCTTGTGTTTTCACACTGTGATGCCAGCCTCTACAAAATGGGACGGTGACTGTCTCAACTCAGTCTGATTTTTTTTTCAGGTGACATGAAATTTGTAGAACTATTTCGTTTAGACTGAGAAATCACATTACTAGAGTAATTTGTTAAAAGAACTGAAGAAATCCCTGGGGAAATCTCCTGTCAAGAATCCAATATTTACCCAGAGATTGGAGTTTGACTGGGTGATTTACTAACTCTGACTCTTGTAAATCTAGGAATTCTATGATCATGTGAAAAGATTCTGGGTAAAATTTTCAGATGGGTTACCTAATATAATCTCCAGGCCTCAAGGTCCTATCTATCTGTACCCTGCCCTCTGTATATGTACACGTCTAGTTACCCAGACCCATCTGTCTAATTATAAGCCCCTCATTACTATGTTTTCTTTCTTTCTCTCATTGGGCAGCACTGCTGTATTGATCTATCCCCATGCAAACCTCTTCCTAACCCTCTGTCTAGCTTTCTATCTTTCCATCTGCAGGATCACTTAGGTATCTCTCTCTAGTCCATGGAACATGAATCATTATCTTCTGCAGCCATCACACACACTCTTGTTCTGCCCTTATCATTTCATCGCTATTTTATACTCACCTGGCTTGACCGTCAGCCTGGTCCCCTTTCCAAATGTGAGCTTATATCCCCCACCTCCATAATTCACACAACCCAGGAAGCCTTTACAAGAACATCTGTGACTGGGCTGATGTCTGACACGATTCTGCCCTCAGTTAGGGTTTCCAGAACATTGCCTGCTTTGGACACCAGGTCTATAAGTCCATTTCTAACTGGATTTCCCCATGTGTCCATGATGGACCCCTTTTCTGTCACCATCGCATGGGAATTGGAGATGGAAAAGATGCATCTAGTTCCATCCCCAGGGATTCCTAGGTCCCACTTAGTCTGTATGTGCTACAGCTAATGAAGTAAAGGGAAAGGCTGTTTTTGATTTTTTGTTTTGGCTGGGCTGGTACAAAAGAGATCTGCCTTCAAATCCCAGCTTTGCCGTCACAGACTCTGTGTGACCTTGGTCAAGTTACTTAAGCTGACATTGTCAAAGCTGTCTAGGCAACCTGGGTGCCCC